TTTGGTAGCAGGAGTCAGACAGCGACCCAGGCCAGGATCTCTGAGAGCAACAAGTCAGCCCCTTCGAAGCAGTGAGCAGCCACTGCCACCACTGGTGGTGTTCAACAACACAGCAAAAACTCCCAAAAGTCTGGAATGCCTGTTTTAGACTATGCACAGATTATCACATACCTATGGGCTAGGAGGGATGACTTCAAGATTTTTCTGGTTTCCTGTGGATCTTTCCTTGTTCACTGTGTTTCACTCTCATTTTCCTCACACCCTTGCCTTCCCTTTTTGCTGGACAAGCTCATAAATCTTCCAGGGCAGGTAGCTGCCTCCTGGTTTGCTGGGTTTTTTTTTGCAAAGTACTGAAGAAAGTGCTAAAAGCTGTTTGGCTCTGGCTCTGTTTGAAAAGTGTACAGCAGAGTTTGAATGAAAAAAAAAAAAAAGAAGAGAAACTAAGTAATTATAAATCTATAATCTATATAATCTATAAATACATGTGTTCAACAAGATCAAACAGATAATGCAAGGGACAGGAGCTGAATGCTAGGACCAGGAGACAAGGATCCTGTAGGACTGACAGATCTTGTGCTTTGAAGTTTTGTCACTGCTCTGCACAATAAACAGGTTTCACATAAAATCCACATCACCTAGGTACCACTTACTAATTTGTATATTTTATCCTGGGCACAAGTTTAGCATCTGCCATCTCTTGTGACTGCATCTTCCACCCGCCACACGGCTTTCTCTGGGGCACCCCACACAGTTCACCACTTCATGGAAGGGTTGTGAGCGTGTTTTTAAGCACAGATCAGATTTGTACTAATACAAGGCTTAGTACAAATCTCTGTCAGTCCGTACTTCAAGGTTAGTGACTTTCCTGTTCTCTTAAAAAATGTTACAGAGAGCAGGATCAAACTTTTTTGGTTTGTCATTTTGTCACGGTGGGGAGTATACCTGTTCTCTTGTGGCAACTTGTGCACAACTTTGCCGCTCATCCCTACTATAAACTTAGAAAGCAAAGTCAACTCAGAGGACTTCATGCCACTTCTATTTCAGTTCGCTGAAATGTGTTTAGTTCTGTTTCTAAATATAAACACTTTCATTAGCCATGCAATCCTGTTTAATTGCTTACATGATTTTTTTTTTTTTTTTTTTTTTAAAGGACTCTCAAACCAGAGTAGGAAGGGCATAACTGGGCAGGACAGAAGTGTGATTCCAGGAAGAACATCACTTTTGTTCCCTATTTCTGCAGCCGGAAATAACAACTCTCCAAAGAGCATCTGGGATGTTCAAATTCCAGAACCAGAACTAAGCTCTGTGGCTCAAGACATGATGCGATCTCTAGGACGAGAGTAAAGTATAAAAGACAGAAATGCCTGAGATAAGAATGTAAAAATCTGAAGCTGGGTACATGCCCATAATCTCTCATGTGTAAACAAACAGTTGAATGTGTGTCAGGGAGCAGCATGTTCAGTTTTCTGAAGAAGACATGTTTCCCAGAAGGAATTACATAAATATTTATGAAAATGAAGCAGGAAATATTTTCCCAGGGTACGACACTGTTCAGCACTGCATCAGGTCAGCAGAAGCTGGGGTTTATTTTGTCAGTCTTCCCCTGTAACTGAATCATTGCCCTCTTGTTTGCAAAAATCTGTTCTGACACAGGAAGAGGCTACACTTAGATAAACACAATTACAAACCACACTGAGTACTTCACTTTCTATCACATCTCTGAATGCATATGTGAATGACTTGCTTTTTGGACAGCTTCTCTGAGTGATTGCATGAAAAACAATAGCAATAGGTATCTGGTTTAGGCCTCTCAGGAAGGCTGATGCCATATGAGTAAAGTCAAAGGCATCTTCAGTAGAATTGAAAGCCTGCAGGCCATCAGAGAAGTATTCTCAGTGAAAATGTTTACAATTAAAAGTGCCTGTAACACACTCACTATGAGCCAGTAAATTCTTGCAAAGTGCAAAGGTTAGAAATGCAAAGATGTAATGCAGTGCTACCTTACCGAGCAAAAGTTTCACACAGTTGAGGTCTGTTTAAAAATGGAGTATGGGTTTCAGTAGTGCATCTCATAAAACATCCAGCAGCTCTCTCAGTCTGTGGTCTGCAACTCAAGCTCCTTCTGAGATTTTGGTGCTGACCAGCCATTCTGCTCCTTGGGCACCAGCTGTCTCCAAATCCCTCTTGCCTTGGAGCAGACATTTCCAGATGGAATCTGGGTCAGCATTTCTGTTTAAGGGCTAAAAGCTGAGGGGGATAAGAGCGGGAAAGGAGAGGTAGGAGTATCCCAAGAAGGGGTTGTAAGCTCTAAAGCAGACCTAAGGTTCTCCTAGAGAACCTTGTGTCAGATCATGGAAAGTTCACACCCATCCCACAAGGTATCTAACCTAACAGAGTCAGATTTTCTAACAGGAAACCAGGGAGATCATAGTTGATAGAGAAACATATATTTCTACACTGTTGAGGCTGATGAAGCCTCTCAAATATCCAACAAGAGTTACCTAAAATCATTAGATTCTTACAAGCTCTCTTTACTGAACATAGAAGCAAGGAGATTTTGGATAATTTTGTCCTCAGTTTGATTCTTTCTGTCAGTTGTTTGTAGGTATATCAAGTTCTAGTCATTGTTTATATCTTACTCAGAGGAACAACAACTGGTGGAGGCTGTGTTTATAGGCTCAAGTAGTCATTACATGGTGTCAAAACCAAAAATGACATTTTACAGAATAGTCCTAGAATTACTTTCCTCCCTACACTTGACAAACCACATGTGACTGCTTTTCCTCTTCCATTCTCTTTAAGCTTTGCCACCATGATTGATGTATCCAGTACAACAGGCTGAAACACTCAAAAGTGTCATGACTTCTGGTACCAGAACTGAAACTATCTAGGATCCTAAAGCAGAGAAATATTGTTTGTGGTGGGTTTTTTTGTTTGTTTGGTTTGGTTTTGTTTATTTTTTTTTTTTTATTATTTTACTTCAGATGCCCCCAGATTTATTCAGTACTGTAAGGTACAGAAGAGGAAAGTTCTTCTTAATACTAAATTTGGATTGGAAAGGATGCCAGCAGACTCTCAGAACTTCTGGCTGAATCAGCCCATGGTTATAAGCAGGATGTATTAACCTGGAGTCCAACCACAGGATCTAGGACTCCATGAATTATTAAAATTGGCTGTAAATCTGGCCACCTGTTGATGAACACTATTTCAGGATGTTGTCTGTACTCCTTATAGTCTATTGACATTTAACTACTAACATCTGAAGAATAAGTAAGTGAAGGTAATACAAATTACCAAGGAAGTACTTAGACTCCAAGGAGGCAATGCACTACAAAAAGGTTACCTGACTACTGCTCATCTCAAAGGAAAAGAATCTTTCAGGATTTTCTTCTGTGTCTTCTCAGGGTTTCCTTGTAAAATATTCACGCCCTAGGAAATGTTTGCTTTATGGACAACACTGACTAGTTTGTTTTTCTCTCTTGCCTACAGACATTTCTCTAAGCCCGATTCAGTGAGAATTAACATGCACAATAGGCAATGTGCCTCATTAAATCTCCATCAGCAATGATGCTGCTTGAAGATTTTTCAGTGAAACTGGTTTGATAAATACCAATTTGCCAAAACCCAAGCTTTTTGTGCTAGTATATCAGTTTTGATGGATTTCCTGGTAAGGCAGGTTTCCTAGCTCCAGGATGGGATTTCTGGTCCAGCATACCAGAAGACATAACTGATTAGAAAACAGCCTTATAATAAGGCAATATAACCTCAAGGCTCTAGTGCAAACAGTGGTTTGAATTAGTCAGAGAAAGAATTTGAATCTGGATCTCCTACATTTTAAGTAAGTGCCTTCATTACAGAGTTCTTGGATATATTAAACTTCATTTCTCACTGCGTGTTTAGGGGTTTTGTGACTGTCATGGAGGGAAAAAAAAGGTAGGGTCTTGATTTCTTTTCTAATGTGTAATGAGAACATTTTTAAATGAACACAGCAATAGTAGTATCAGAAAAACGTTCCCTGCTTAGTCCTGGTCAGTGACTGAAGCGGTTAAAGAAATGGTTTCCTCTCTTACTTACACTTACCCCTCTTTATCCCTGATAAATAACAAAGAAGTCACTGTAAGTCTCTCAGTACTGTGGAACAGATAGCATCATTCACGTCAGTTTGGCAACATTTCCCAAAATGCCTCCTCCAAAGCTAAGTACACTAGCTTCCCACTCCTACGCTCTCTATTCTTGCTCTTACATTGACCTTCTGCTCACAAAATGGAAAGTGAAGAGAAGAAAAAGATAAATAAAACAGATTTACAGTGTACAAGTCAGAGGCACAGTGCCAACACAAATCACAGAGGAACAAGTTTATTCCTGGTACGACTTTATCCTTCTATAATCCCAGCTTTCTCTTTCCTCGCCCTCTAGCTGTGGTGTATCCATTATCGAGGCCACATTTGAGGGTGTTAGTTAGATGACATTCTTTAGGACAGAGACCACTATTTATTTCTGAAAAGTACTGTATACAGTTTAACAAAAAAGAAAGGTGTTTTGAAAAGTGGGACAGTCTGTGACCAGCCTAGAAAGAAAGAGGGAGAGGAATGTCTCGACCCCTCTTGGGCCAACATTTCATCCCAGATGAACACTTGAAATCAAAGCCTTCCTTCAGCCTTTAAGAAAAGGTACTCACTTTTACATCAGTGCTGCTACTTATTCTGTCTACCAAAAGGCTGAAACATTGTAGTGCTAAGGAACTAATACTCAAATAACAAGGAAAGCATCTCAAAAGCTATTATCATAGGAAATACATTTTTTACCTAGAATGGAAAGCAGACGTGCTCTCACACACTAGGCAGTTCAAAAGCATAGTTCAGCTTTCTGAGTAGCTGTTTCCTTTGTTGTGTGATAAACCAGAAGTTAACAAAATTCCTGGAAAGATTACAAATACTCATCTCCCCTTTCTTTTCTGCCAGGCTGCCTCGAATGGTCTTCTCTCACTGGTTACTGTGCTCTCTGTAAGAGAAAGCTAGAGGCTTTTTTAGGAAGGAATTGCACACGGATGGATATCTGTCACAGCTCCTTTCACGAGGGTATATATGGGTTTTGCATGATATCTGTTCCTCCATCCCTGAGCCCTCCTGCACCTGGCTTCAGAGTCCCAGCACCCAACTGAAAAGCTGACAACTACTTCATGCAGATTTGAACTAGCAGCAGCTTCCTGGATAACCCAAAGATGACGTTCTGCTGAGACCTATGATACACCACTGTCCTGCTAAATGGCCTCTCCCAGTGTAGAGGAACGGTGATATGGGAGGAGGTACAGCAGTCATTCAAGCTCATCCTGCCCTGTGGTTTCAATCCTGAAATATGTCCTTCTGGACTGCGTCTACCAACACAATCTGGCTCGGAGCAACCATTGCGGAGCAATCTGTAAGCATAAAACCATCATTTGTGGGTTTCTGGCTCAAACACCCATTGATAACATCAACTTTTCTTTTGCTACTCTGTGGACTGTGGGTTCATGGAACCCAAAAGATGTGAAATAGCACCAGTGATTTCCACTCACAGCAGACTGGCAGCTCATCCATTGACATTAACAGTCTCCTTGGAGGAAGGCTTTTGTGGAAAAGTCTCTCTACATGTTCTATGAAGTCTGCATTACTCTTCCAGCACACAAACAGCCACAAGTATCCTATAAATAATTAGTACTCACTTGGATACAATACCAAAGTCTTCTGTCTCTCACATAAGTGAAAAGTTGGGCATGAAGAGTCAGTCCTGAAAGAAAATTAAAAAAAAAAAAAAAAGGCAAAAGACATATTCCCATATACTAAAGAAATTTTCCATGGCAAAAGCAGCTAAACATCTCACAGATAAGAGATAAATTGGAATAAACATCTGTCAGTGTTAAATAAATATCCTGGATAATGTGCAGGACAGAAATAACTACAACATCGTCAAACTCCTTTCTTCACTTTATTTAGCTGTTCTTGCATGTAGCTCCCAATCTTTGCACTGCTTCAGTTAGTGGAGCATTTATTTTTGAGTCAGCTGGATTTGTTAAGACTGTAGCAACGAAAGGCATTTCCTGAGAAGCTGCAAGGATGAGCAGCAAGAAAGAACAACAGCTAAGGAAATACGGGACCCTAGTAGTGCTTTTTATCTTCCAAGTTCAGATTTTTGGTTTTGATGTTGACAATCGACCTACAACAGATGTCTGCTCGACACACACAATTTTACCTGGACCAAAAGGTGAGGAATATCAGGTTGCTAATGCTGAGACCAGTACTGATAAAGGCTGATTTTTAAAAATAGAGACATTAAGGGCTTGTGGCATGGGCTGGGAATGAAAGATGTGAAATATTGCAGATTGTAAAAACATCTAGAAAAGTGGAACTGTGATAGAGGAAAGTGATGAAGCAAGGAGATTTGAATTTGCTTTTCTTTAGTTTCAGGAACAGTGTCACATATTCTCTGTTAGACATGTCCTTTTGCATCTTTCTCCAGCCACATAAATCTTCTCTTCTGGTATTCATCACACAATCAGTACAGCTAGCAGCCACAAATTGAGTGACTTTGTCTAAAAGTAGGCACCTATTGTGAACTGTTAATGGTTTCCTTTGCACCTACAGGTAGGGAGAGATATGCAGTATTTAAAATGACTGAACTGTCATTCAAATGTTTGCTTGTAAACACAGCTCTGCTGCATTTATCAGACCTGATCCAGCAGCTCTTGTTGAATTAAACAGGACCTTTGCTACAGATTTCAACAAGAACTAGATCAGCTCTGGCATGTGCAGGTCTTTTATCTTCAAAACACTTTGCAAATATCTGAAACCAAATTTTCTGCATTAGCTTACTTTTTGTGTAACACAACTAACATCAGTGGAATTGCCTGGAGGGTGTCTCAGCCAAAAATTAGGTCCATGACGTACAAATCTATCTTGCAGTGACAGATCTAAAATATATATTCCACACCACGGCTATTGCAGTTCAAATTATTGCTTTCTTTTTAGTAATTCATTGTATTTTTCTATAGGCTACAGACTGAGAGAAAAAAAAATGCAACTGATTTAAATTTTAAGCAGAAAAAAGATTATCAAGTCAAAAGCACTGCTACAGACTCATTTTTTTTTATGATGGATTATTCAAATGCATGTTGCTTAAAGGACCATTTTTAATCAGCAAGTTAATTTCTGTATGATTACAATCCAAGCTTAAACTTTTGCTGCCACAGCATAAATGCAGAGAGATGTAATGATCCCCAAGGGAGCTAGTGGGAGTTTGTTTAGTTAGTAGCTGAATAATGGCAGGCTGCAGAACAGAGTTTGACAGAATTGTGTTTAACAAGTCACAAGGCTAATGAGGTGATCTAGTGACAACACAAGAGTAGCTGGGACTCCAGCTGGTTTCTGTGGTCTAGCTTGTATAGGGAACATTTAAAGGTTAGATATTATGGTTCTTTGCAAGCGTGATACTGAGAAAGTCAGGATTTAGTCATTATGAGTCCTGCTGTCTCCTGGCTGACACCAAGACACAAGAGAAGCCAAACAATATATTGGCACAGTCCTCACTACTACTTTAAAATTAAACTGTCATGCCCAAGTTCCACAATTGGTAAAAGGAGTATCAAGCAAATTACCTCCAAATTATTGGCTCACATCCATTGCAGGTCATCAAACACATTTTGTAGTCTATGTGATATGATCCTATAGACTAATTTCAGTTCCTACCAGAGCTGAGCTCATCCAGGACAGTTACAAGCAGCTCTTGATGGCACTGGTTGTTTTGACTGCCAGTCAGCTGGGCAATTAAAGACTGAGCAGGCTGGGGGTGTCTACTACGCTGTTATTCCTCAAGCATCCCTTGTAGTTAAGGATGAAGCATGTTGACCTAATATGGCAGAATAAAGTTTGTCCTGCTGCCAGTTTTCCCCTCTCCATCTTGTGTCTACGGACTCAGAGCACGATTCCCAGCCTAGGACCACACCACAGCCACAGGCAACACTGCTGCTCAAACTTTAACCCTAACAACAGACAAGCCTCTGACTTTTCTTGCTGTAAGTTTTATTTTCTCTGCCACATCTGTTGGGCCCCTTTGTCCTCCATTCTCCTGAAAATGGGTTTTGACCCATCCTGCACAAGTTTCACCTCCATCTGCTCAGCATCTTCGGCTGTGGTAGAACACGGTCGTACTCCCACAAGCCAGAGGTGCTGAGCTCACACAGTATGTTGGCCAGCTTTATCTACCACCACAGGCCAGATACCTGTTGTGGCAACTTCCTCCTTGCATATGAACATGGGAGTGTCTAATGGGTCAAAGAAACCAGAAGTGTGAAGAATTAAAAGATATTTAACAGCTGGAAGACTTCCTACACTGTCTCACCTCACCTATCCCAGTGCAAGGCACAAATTGTCCTTTAGGCCAGATCCAGTCTGTGGGCTACAGGTGGGATGGTCCCTGGTGCTATGCAGCAGCAATACTGTTGTTCCCATCACACAGCAAAATGGAGAGGAGAAAGCTGAGGGAGAAGTGAGGTTGTTTGGAGAGGCTCTGAATTTATAACCCTTTATTTCTTGCACTACCGGAGGTTGCATTACTCAATTCATCATCTAGGCATTCACAGTTGCTACAATCTCAGGCACCTGACCTCTCTGCATACTCATCCTGAAAATCACCTGTTCAAAAAGGGTCATTAGTGTTGTGAAAACTGGCTACTTCTTGTACAAGCCACATGTAACTTGTTCAAGCTAATTTGTGCAAATCAAATCTTCCTTCAAAAATATACTCTTTGTTATGCTTATATGTGAGATGTCATAAGAGAAGTATGATATGAGTGATGGGATGAAAAGAAAGGGTAATTCCAGGCTGATTATCAGGAAAGTCTTCAAACTGGTTGTGACAGTCCCACCAGCTCCCAAAATGCATGAAGCAAAACCAGAGGCCTTTGTGTATAACACAAAGAACTAGAAAATACTCTGGAAAGATGCAGTCTCTCAGGAAGAGAAGGAATGCAGTAAATGTCCTGTAAACCCTTTGCAATTTCTGTTGCAATGATAGAAGTCAGTCTGAATTAAACTGCTCAGCATTAGAAAGGAATCGGAGGTTAAGTCTGACCTCTGGTGGTTCTGTGTGATGGAACCAGGCGCCTTCCAATCCCCTCTGTCCATCGGCTGCTTTCTCATTGTTGGTGTGAGCACATGAATGTTGAAGTCTGTTCGTGAAGAATTATGCAAAGAAATTTTCTAAACAGGCACTCCAAAAAAAAAAAGGAAACAATGGATAAGAGAAAAGCAAAGGCTGGCACTCCTCTCCCAGTTTCCTTCTCTAGGCAATGCTCGGGTCTCTTCTCAAAAAGAAGGGGTTATTTTTCATGAACGTAGCCCGCACGCAATTGCTGTCTTGTTCTGCCTTCCTGAAAAAGTTTTTGAGGTACACAACAAGCTGGCTTATATAGAAGTTAAAAATAGAAATGTGTGCAGCATTTTCTAGGACCATTACTGAAATACCCTAGGAAACCAAAAAAGGAAAAAAACATGTGCTTTGGACCAAAACAGATTTTCAATAATCATAACTAGTGTTTTTTATTGTTTGACCTGAGATGTTTAGGAACAACTTGGTCTTAGCTGGAGTGCTGTGGCCCAGGACCTCTGAAAACACTGGTGCACTGATGAGTAACTACAGCAATAAAGGCCAAGTTCTGTACTCCATCTATTTCTTGGGTCCAAAGAGAACCAGATCAAGCGTAAACAAACCAATGAACTTTCCAGGGCAGCCGAGTGCTTGGCCTAGCAAAATTAGTCATGGCCCTACTGATTACTTTCCACCCTTCCAAGCTCAGAAGCTGCCTGCTGGTGCAGCTGCCGAGAGAGGACCTGGGACTGTGGGCAGGCAGCAGCTAATGCAGTGAGAGCAAAAAGCATCGGTTGTTGCTCCATGTCCTGGCAGCGGCAGGAACATCAGCTCTGCTCCCCGGGGCTCTGCCTTCAACCAGTGCGCCAGCTCTGTCCTTTCTTCTAGCCTGCTCTCTTCTGGAGACTGCAAGCTCAGCTTTGTCTAACCTGCAAAGGAAGTTTTAAAAGTGGGCTGTTGACATAGATGAGATGGGATCTGACGTGGTCTGAGTAAATTAATAAGCAGCAACATGATGGCAGAAATAAGCAGAGGGCCCAAAACTGTGATTCCTAAACTCCCATTAGAAGCATGAGCAGAGGGAGAAGATGACTAGGGGTGGGGGCTGGTTCTGCAGAAGCTAATTTCATGTGGATTCATGAGAGCTCAGTGCTTCAGAAGGCTGCCTCTAGATTTTGCTATCTCTCCCAGGTCCCAGATCATTTTCTTTGAAATCCAGACACAGGAACTTCAAAGGTCTTGAATCAGATCCAAGTTGAGAAACTGAAATTAGATGAAATCTGAAGAATACTGGGAATTTCCCATACCAATTTAGATGTAAAACATTTCCTTATTATTATTTCTGACAAATGATGCGTATAAACTCCATGATACTGGCTGGCGCCTCAAAATAGAATTTACTGTGGTTTCCAGTATAGCTGTCCATCTCTCAGCTTTAACTGCACTTATGCAATTCCACTCCTGGAAAATCTCAAACTCTCTCAGAAATCAGATATACTGTTATCCACATTTCCTTCCAAAAATATAAAATGCCTTACCACATCCTATAGGCTGTTCAAACCTATAACTAAACTTCCCTCTTAGTGCCTCATGTTTGATCTGAAGAACCCTTTAATTGTAACACATAATTCTATTTTTCAACTCTTTTAGAATTCCTCATTTTAGCGTACATTAAATTTCTGAAGTTTATCGGCCTATGCTACAAAGCAGGTATGTGGGGACTTAAACACATAAACTCAGAAGATACTGGGTGTGTATGTCTTCTTAACAATGTCAGTCTGATTCCTCACTGAATCTACCATAATCCATTGGTCTGTGAGATCATGTCAGAATGGCAGGGGAATAGTCTGGGAAAATTAAATTGGGCAGACCAAGTGAAAAGAGAATCAGGAATAATTTAAATTATTTCTGTGTTATTAAAGAAAAAATATGTCCCAGTCATGCACAAAGACCCACACTTTCTAATAATACAAGTCAGCAGAACTTCACTGAGCCTACTGAAGGCTTGGGTCTGGCTCATTCTGTTGGGTTTGTCTGGGATAGAGTTAATTTTCTTCACAGAAGCTGGTATGGGGCTATGTTTTGGATTTGTGCTGAAAACAGTATTGATAATTAAGGGA